TTAGTATTAATTGTGACGTTTTCAAAGTTTCAACCTTGAATGGCATTGATTGTGAAATTCGAATTTCAAAGTTTTCACCTTAAAAGAAAATAATAAATGACATTGATTGAGAAATTGAAATTGAAGTTTCGAAGTTTTTAACCTTGAATAAAAATAATAAATGATATAATTAGTATTAACTAGGAAGTTTTCAACCTTCAATATTTTATGAAAGAAATCAGTAAAATCATCATGCAAAAATGAGATATAAGCCGTCTAAGCACACTATTTTTATTTTTTTATTTTTTCTGGTCAGGAGGGGAGCTAAATCATTGTTATCATCTTTGAAATGCTTTACCAATTTAGCATAGCTTATTGAATGAATTTTGGGAAAGTTATAGTATCAATAATTAATGATTCCAACACAAGGTTTAAAATTCAAAAATTATAGACACAAAGGCATTAACAAGAGCAGCAACAGTAAACCCCCCTTAATTTCGTTAGTCAAAAGATGGAATGGAACGAGGCTGCATATATGTTTGAGGAGAAATTGTCATGTTTTTAAAGGGTGAGATGGAAGTTTTTAAAGGGTGAGATGGTCACAAATGATAATTTTGATACAAATAATCAAATTTTGAAAATTTGTGAACTTGTGATGAAATTTCATAAAATTTTGTCACTAATAAGATTTTTTCTTGTAGTGATTGGAGATGAAGTATAGATAAACAAAATATAAACTAAAAAAAGACATTACATATATACTATAAAGATTAATGAAAATCGATCAATATTAAGAATAATTATACACAAGAATGGAAAATTAAATAAACGACATATATTTAAATAATAAAAATATCAAAATATTTCTTAGTGCATTTCCTCAGCGTAAGACAAACTATAATAGTAGATTTTATCTTATTCTGTTCAGTACATATCTTTTTGAATTTGATGGCCAGTTGGGCATGACTCCCGGATGGATCCTATTTTTTTTTTATAATTATTAAATAGATAAGTTATTATTACTTTCAATTAATATTACTATCAACGTTATTACTAGTTTGTATGTTGACCCAACGGTTTTAATTTAATTTTTTAAAACTTTCTTTCTCCTCCGTATATTTAATATTTAATATTTATTTACATTTTTGTATAGTTATGATTGCACATATTTAATTCTTTCACATTAACTATAGGGAATTGTAAACATATAAAGGTGAAAATAAATTTAACCATTGGATCAACATAATTTATTTAATAGTAAAATAAACTGATAATGTCATTGATAGTAATACTAATTGATACTAACAATATCCTATTTCATTATTAAATTACATTGTCATTCTTTAAACCTAAACATTCAACCATGGGAAAACTATTTGTGTTTTAAAAGGATATAAGTTGTATTTTTTTACTCTATGTATTCATGGTAGTACATAGATATAACATGAAAAGTTATTTTTTTATCTCTTCTCAGTCATATTTATATAATTTTTTTTTTATATTATAACCATATGGATTATATAAAGTAAAAAGTTAAAAGGATACATCTTATATTTTTAAAAGTTCCCAGACTAAACCCTTCAACTGTTTATCTTCTAATCAAAACATATGCTTCCTTCGTATTAAAAAAAAAAAAAAAAAACATCCGCTTCTATCAAGTTCAACACACCACACATGAATAATGTACTTCAAGCTGACAATGAAAGTAGTTGACTCTTAGAAAAGACCACACTTGGTCTTTTTTCTCTCATGGATTCTTTTTGTTTTTACAACTCAAATCTCCCATACGAAGGGAACCCATAACTCCAAAGCAAAAAGACCCTTCTTATTATTAGAAAACGATGGCATAAAAAAGGGTGATTTCTTTTATCAGAATTCGTCCATATAAATAGGCATAGTTACATAGGTAAGTTACAATAGATAAAGATATGTCTATATACCAAAAAAAAAAAATATATGCCTACAGCTAATACTATGATGTACAATCGATAAAACCGAATCTACTCAAAACAAGGCTGGTAGAATATATTTGTTACTAGATATAAGATCAAATCTTGATTTTTTTTTCCATCTCTAATATATGTTTCACTCTGTTTTTCAGTTTCATTTGTTTTGAAAATTGCTAGAGCTGCTTACAAAACAAAAAGAATAAAATAAAATAAATTTGACTGGATTCTCAACTCAAAAATATCACCAGAGAACCTTTCATCGACACAAAAAGGTTGAATTCTCAACTTGACATATGGGAACTAGTTAACTGGTTTGACTGCAATATGCAGAGCCACACCTAAATTATTAACAATTTAGGCTTTGGTAAATCCAAGTAATCTTATTAACAAAAAAATAAAATAAAAATAAAATCCAAGTAATCCGATACAAGTTTCAAGTATTGGCAGATTAGTAAATATAAATAAGCATTGTCTTATCTCTTAATAATGAAATATTGAATAATTGGATAGATGCTTGATCATAAAACAAATCCTTAATCTAACAACATAAAAACACAAAACAGAGTTTTCATTCCATAAAACACCAGTAAATGAATAAAAAAATTAAAAAGGGCACCAATTCGAGGCGAGACAAAAGTCTTACATAGCTTTACTGGGATAAGCAGAAGTGTATAATGCCGAAGTAGTGTTATCTTCACTGAGATAAGCGCTAGCCATAACATAATCAAGAAAAGTTGAAGCACCAGTTCCACATGGTCGAAGAGTGTTAGAGTAAGAAGTGAAACAAACTCTGGTTTCCCATTCATGCTCACATATCTCTCTCAATCTCCAAGAATTTTTACCACTCAAATCAAATCCATAAACATTTTTCTTGGTGGCAAATATCAAACAATCACCATTCATGATTGTAAACCCTTGAACCCTTGGATCTTCCTCCTTCAACCCCATAGCTTTCAACCTTATTTTCAAAGTCTTTCTCCATAAATTTGACTCGTAGTCCACCAAAACCCATATGGTAAACACAAATTTCATGTATCTCACCAAACAAATAGAATGATCCAAACTTCTCACCTTCCCCCATTCAAAAATACCCATGTCGCAACTTTCATGATTAGAACATTTTCTTGCATCCTTGGGGAGCCTAAACATTCTTGATTGACAACTCTCAAAATTGTATGCCATTATATATGGCCTAAAATAAGGACTTCTCCTGTCAATATAATCAAAACTATTTGATATAAAGTGGAGAGAGCTATGAAGATACACATGCATCTCAAGTCTCATGCTTCTACTACCAATGAAAAAACTCCTCTCCATTGCTTGCCATACACCTTCCTTTGGAAAATACACTTTTAAATCAAGATATGATGACCATTCAGGGGGTTTGTCAATCAAGAATATCCTATAGTCATCAAAATCAAGATCTTTATTAATGCACTCAAAAAATAAATTGATATCAGCATCAGGAGTTTCATGCACACATGTTGGGGTAGGAATGGGAAGCCATGTTTGTGATACAGGATTGCAAATAAACAACTCAACCGGGCTCTTTGTTGCATTATATTTTGTTTTTTCTTTCTCCTTTTTCCTTCTACATAATCTTATCATATTGCTAATCAGGTGCTCATCAAACACAAGACATGATATAGGCTTATGAGCCCCATATCATATGCTACCTTTATCAGCCCCATATCATATCCTACCCTTATCCTATCATGTCCACCAAACGAGCCCTATAAAAATTTACAAAATAAGTTACCTACTGTTGCGCATCTAGCAAGTGCACTAGTCGTACAAGTAATACAATGATGAGTAAAGATCGTTCCCACGAGGATTTGTGTCAAGCACTGACTAACCATATGTACTTGAGTTGAATCAAACAAAAGTTCATAGATTGCATATATTTCTTGTCACCAGAAACTACACTGAATTGAATTAAAACTTGATAAATAAATAAAATGTAAATTATAATGTAAACAAGTAGTCAGATGTCATTTTCCCTCAAACATGAATTTATAGATGAACCAATTTCCATTATGAATTATCTACTATATGATGTTGATCAACCTTTTTCTTATCATCTCAAGATGTAATCCCTTACTACACTGATAGACACATTAATCAGAAACCCCAATCCCTTGGTGATTCCTTTCTTAATACATGCATTAATTACTAAGGTCTTAAGATCACATCAAAATCCTAGCATCAATCCCTTGACTACTAGAACACTGATGATGAAGTTGTCAAAAATAGAGAAATAATGTAAACATGTCTGTTCTACACTATTCCTCAACATGAAGAATTAATCAAGACAACTTCATACAATCACATAATAGATAAACAAAACATCTAATTAACCATTCATAAATTCAAACTTGAGTTCCATTGAATCAGACTACAAAGGACTCTACTCAGACATAATTGAAATACAAACAAGAGAAGAAAGATAGATCAAACTCCATTGTCATGATAGTTGAGTCTTCAATCTCCAAGTGCAATTACATAGGAAATACTAACTATTACAAGAACTAATCCTAAGAATTTGGAAATTCAGAGAAAATGAGGAGTCAGATCAGATCTATGAAAGACCTGATCTGATCTCCCTTCTCCTAGTGTGATGAGAAAAATCAGAATGAGATATGATGAATTGGATCTGATGATCTGGAATCATGTTAGAATGTGAAGGCCCCTTGTCCTTTTATAATTTACAAATTACAACTGAAAACTGACATGGGCGCTAAAACTCTCATTTCTGGACGTTTTAGCGCTCAACCTTGACGGATGCCCAACTGCTTTTAACTGTCTTGGGCGCTAAAACGCTCAGTTTTGGGCATTTTAATGTTCAGGCGCTAAAATGCTCAGTTTTGGGCGTTTTAATGTTCAGCACCAGCATCTTTTGTGCAACAGGGCGCTAAAACGCTCAGTTTTGGGCGTTTTAGCGCCTAACACATAGAATTTTCCCATTCTTCAGAATCTTCTTCCTTCTCTCTTTTGCTTCTTGAGCTTCATTTCCCTACAAAAACAATGTAAATTTTCAACATAAGCTTCAGAACTTGTATTTGAGAGATTTCCAGGACATTAACCTCTTTTCCATCCATTTAATCACACAAATTGATATTAACTCATGCTTAAAAACCTGATGAACTAAGGGTTCATCACAATTCCCAGATTTGAACATTGTTGTCCTCAGCAATGAATTAAAACAGAGAAGGACTTGAGATTCTTTACAGATGAAATTCATGAGGATGGACTTCAATTAACAAAATATCAACATTTCATGATACAAAATTATAACCATGCAATCTCTTATTTCCTATGATTTGCCCAACATCATTTGTGACTTTTCCACAGATTAGTAAAGATGATATACAGAGACTTCCAAACAACAACACCCCCTCACTAGGAACTTCTCAAAAATTATAAGAATTTTAACACTCTTGCACACTAGTGTTTAAGGATGTACTTATCACTCACTCTTCACTGCACTCAAACTACCATAGGCTTGCCCATCTTCTCACTATTCATAGTAACAATGATCCATAAGGTAGATCAAAAAGGTTTTGGTATGATTAGCAATGAGGCTTGGTGTGTGGCTTGACTAAAGGTAAGGATTTCTGTGAAAGGGTAAGTTCAGATCAAATGAATCAGATTCAGATAAGAGGGAATTCACAGTAATTAATCAATTTCTTCCTAATTCCCTCAACTTTCTTCCTTTTCATTCCTTGTTCTTTTCTTTGAACCTTTCTTCCTCCTTTTCTTCCTGACACTTTGTGTCTTTAACAAAAAAAATTTCTTTTTCTTTCAGACACTTTGTGTCTTTAATACTTCCCTCTGTCTCTTCCAAACATTTTGTGTTTCACAACCTTTTCTTTCTTTTCCTTCTTTCTTTCTTATATTTCCAACACCTTGCATTCACTTATTGCAAAAACACTTTCCTCCCCACAGAACACTCCATCCCTTATCACTTATCTGAAACTTTTAATCTGAAGGATTGGAATAAATGTGGTTCTTGGCTTGATAGACAACAGGTTAGGCTCAAGTGTTTCATGCAATTGGAACTTAAAGGTTGGCCATTTGACTTTCTGGTTCAAGAAGGAAATGCCTCTACCCTACACATCATCAACCATTTCAAGCAAGAAACAGGGCAAGTTCTAGAGCTATTCATGCAGTGAAGTGCTGTTTGAACAAAAAAAAATTTATGTATAGGCTCAATTTCCAAACAGTTCAGAGTGCATGCTTGACTTTCTCTATATGCATCAAAACTTACACATTGAATGAGTCATGCAATCATTTCATTTAAGCTCAACATGCAAGGTATAAGATTGTATCCTTTAATTTGATCAATCATATAAAACTTTGATCAGTCAAATCCTCATGAAATTCCATATCAAAACTGAAATCCAAATTCAATATTACAGCTAAAATCTAAATCACACAGAAAACTTATAAAAGAAAAAGATTGAGATGTTTCCCTGTTTTGGCTCATCAATTGGTGTGACATCTCCTTGAAGTTTGCATGCCATTCAATCACACCCAATTCCCAGATTTAAATGTTGTTGTCCCCAGCAACTAATTGAAATCTAAAATAGTAATTGATCACTGAAACACATTATACATAACCCAATAGAATCAGTACTATCACAATGTGAATCAGTCAAAACAGTAATTATCTCAATGTACTAAACTGAATTACAAAACTAAATTATCAACAAAATAAAACTAGGAGAAAACTACCCAGAAACATGTAAATCATATGAGTGGACCAGCGCTAAAACGTTGAAATCAAGCGTTTTAGCGCTGGTCTCCAGAGACATGTGCACATTGATGTGCGTCGCATCGCGCTAAAACGGTCACGTCTGAACGTTTTAGCGCTCTGGACCAGAAAGAACAAAAATTCAAACATAAATTTAAATTGCTGAAAAATAAAAGATTCAATCTCAAATATCAATGGTGTCTGTCAATGTTGAAGAACAAATCCCCGGCAACGGCGCCAAAAACATGTTGGACGTTTAGCAAGTGTACTAGTCGTACAAGTAATAAAATGATGAGTAAAGATTGTTCCCACGAGGATTTGTGTCAAGCACTGACTAACCATATGTACTTGAGTTGAATCAAACAAAAGTTCATAGATTGCATAGATTTCTTGTCACCAGAAACTACACTGAATTGAATTAAAACTTGATAAATAAATAAAATGTAAATTATAATGTAAACAAGTAGTCAGATGTCATTTTCCCTCAAACATGAATTTATAGATGAACCAATTTCCATTATGAATTATCTACTATATGATGTTGATCAACCTTTTTCTTATCATCTCAAGATGTAATCCCTTATTACACTGATAGACACATTAATCAGAAACCCCAATCCCTTGGTGATTCCTTTTTTAATGCATGCATTAATTACTAAGGTCTTAAGATCACATCAAAATCCTAGCATCAATCCCTTGACTACTAGAACACTGATGATGAAGTTGTCAAAAATAGAGAAATAATGTAAACATGTCTGTTCTACACTATTCCTCAACATGAAGAATTAATCAAGACAACTTCATACAATCACATAATAGATAAACAAAACATCTAATTAACCATTCATAAATTCAAACTTGAGTTCCATTGAATCAGACTACAAAGGACTCTACTCAGACATAATTGAAATACAAACAAGAGAAGAAAGATAGATCAAACTCCATTGTCATGATAGTTGAGTCTTCAATCTCCAAGTGCAATTACATAGGAAATACTAACTATTACAAGAACTAATCCTAAGAATTTGGAAATTCAGAGAAAACGAGGAGTCAGATCAGATCTATGAAAGACCTGATCTGATCTCCCTTCTCCTAGTGTGATGAGAAAAATCAGAATGAGATATGATGAATTGGATCTGATGATCTGGAATCATGTCAGAATGTGAAGGCCCCTTGTCCTTTTATAATTTACAAATTACAACTGAAAACTGACATGGGCGCTAAAACTCTCATTTCTGGACGTTTTAGCGCTCAACCTTGACGGATGCCCAACTGCTTTTAACTGTCTTGGGCGCTAAAACGCTCAGTTTTGGGCATTTTAATGTTCAGGCGCTAAAATGCTCAGTTTTGGGCGTTTTAATGTTCAGCACCAGCATCTTTTGTGCAACAGGGCGCTAAAACGCTCAGTTTTGGGCGTTTTAGCGCCTAACACATAGAATTTTCCCTTTCTTCAGAATCTTCTTCCTTCTCTCTTTTGCTTCTTGAGCTTCATTTCCCTACAAAAACAATGTAAATTTTCAACATAAGCTTCAGAACTTGTATTTGAGAGATTTCCAGGACATTA